CGTGACCCCGCCGCGCCCCCGCCCTGTGACGTCATCACGCCGCGCCCTCCGCTCCGAGATGGCGGCGGGCGGGCGGGGCTGAGCCGGGCCCGGGCAGGTACCGGGAGCGGAGCGGGGCCGGGGCCAGGGGGGCGACCCGCGGGGACTGCCCGGGGGGCCGGAGCGCCGAGCCGGGCCCGGCAGCACCGGAGCCGGGGGAGGGGGGCAGGACCGGGAACGGGGCTGGGCCGGGGCGGGGAGCAGGTACCGGGGCCGGGCGGGGCAGCACCGGCCTCAGGTCTGTACCGGGAGTGGCAGAACGGTGCTGGGGTCGGGCCGTACCGGGACCGGCGGTACTCGGTGCGCGAAACAGAACCGGGACCGGATTGGGCTGAACCGGGCCCTTCCCGGTACCGGAGCGGACCCGCTCCATCCCCCGGTACCGCCGCAAGCCCTGTCCCCTCTGTCCCGCAGCCCCGGTGCCCCCGCCATGCTGCCCCGGGCCGCTTGGGCGGCTCTCCGGTGACACCGGGCGGCTCTCCGGTAAAACCGGGCGGCTCTCCGGTGACACCAGGCGGCTCCCCGGTAACACCGGGCGGCCCCGCGATGCTGCGGCGGCTGCTGGAGCGGCCGTGCTCGCTGGCGCTGCTGGTCGGGTGCCAGTTCGCCTTCGTGGCGTATTTCTCGCTGGGCGGGTTCCGGAACCTCACGGCGCTGTTCGGTCGCTCCGCCGGTCCCGCCGTGGATTATTCCCGGACTCACGACGTGTACGCCAACCTCAGCCGGGTCGGTGCCGGCTTCGGTACCGGGAATGGCCCCGCTGAGCCGCCGGACCCCGCACGGCCGCTGCCGTTCTGCCCGGAGAGATCGCCGTTCCTCGGTGAGAGCGGGAGGGGAACCGGGAGCACCGGGAGGGGAGGAGACCCCTGAGAGGGAACCGGGAGGGGAACGGAGACCCTCGAGGTGGAAACCGGGGAGAGGGGAGGAACCGGGCAGCGCTGGGGGAAAGAACCGGAGACCCCCCCCGGGAGGAACCGGGAGGGGGGGAAGGAACGGAGACCCCCGAGGGGCTCCGGTTCTTCCCGCGGGGGGGAAGGACCGGGGAGTGACCCCTCCCCGTGGGAGGAGGAACCGGTGCCGCCCCTCCCCCGGTAAAGAACCGGTTCCAGCCCCTCCCCCGGTAAATATCCGGTTCCCGCCGCTCCCTCCGGGACAGAACCGGTTCCCGCCGCTCCCGGGAAGGACCCGACCCTTCCCCGGGCAGAAGAACCGGTCCAACCGGTTCCCTTCCCCCTCCCTGCCCCGGGAAGGAGCCGCCCCCTCCCCTCCCCGGGACGGAACCGGAGCCCCCGGGGGAGGAACCGGGCAGGGAAGGGGAATGGGGGGGGGGACAAACGCGGCCCGCTTTGGGGCAGCTGTCCCCCAGCCCCTCCCAGTGCCCCTCTGTGCCCCCCAGCCCCACTCAGTGCCCCCC